AAATCCTACCATGCTTATCGAGATTTGCTCCGTATAGGCTTCTCTGTCGCCGGATTCTATGGACTATTGTGCCATGTATTGTTTTCTTAGCCATGTCTAGATGGTATCATTACAAACCAGCTGTTAAATAGGAGCGGTTCCCTACTGTGTAACGTGTCCAGAATTCCCACCATATACCGACATGAGCCAATCCCCAGTCACAGGTGATCAACTCTTGTGTTATTCCCCTCCCCCGTTTGCCACGAGACACATTATATCCGTCATTCTATGCTGTGTAAAGCAAACCAATCGCTTATGGTTATTGAACGTATTCAAACAGTCGAGTCAATTTCGCTCGCTGACTGTATTTGATCGTGTTGCATGTTGGCAGTTTAGGTGATTTGTCATCTTTCTATGTCTTGCAAGGACTCAGCTGTTTTGCAACTAAGCGAATACCGTTGAGTGTTGTACACGAAATATTCGCTGAAGTTTAACGTGGCACGTAATTAACATCGCAGCTGCCTATCCTTGTTGGACTCAGGAGATTTTATGTATCACACAAGTCACAAGTGATTCCCTTCGCTTACAATAAGTCCGCTTAATACCTCCTGATAACGCTTCATCTTGTGCTGGACAAAGTCAGAGAAGTTATGAATATTGATGGGCTACAGTTGAGGCTACATTATCCTTATCCCGTAGCAGCTTGGCCTTTGAAAACATTAACCATGTGCCATGCACTTTTGAATGCAAGGTTCAAAGGAGTAAGTGCTTAGGAGAGGAAAGGTACCGAAATTTCCAGTGAAAATGTCAACATTGTCAGATTCGTTGGATCATTATGTGCTATGTACCAAGCTTCAGAAAGATGGTATTGGTGATCCAGTAAAAGGAAGAATTGATAACATTCTTCACAAACGAATTTAGGCTACGTGCACCTTAGTCTGACCTAATTCAGGTCCAGTTTGGCCTATCACAAGTCTCGGTACTTGGAAGTAGTCTCATCCTAGTGTTTATTCACGATCTATCAGCGGTGGTCATTCAAGCACTAGTCTCAGGCAATTTTAATAGTTAACATGAAACTGCTCAACCAAGAGACCCTCCAGAGCTAAATTGCTGAGGTCAAAAATTGGTCGGTGAGTAGTGTAGGCGAAAGAATTATCATGAAAACCGTAACCTGCATGTCAAAATCCTAGTCAGATAAACACACCATCTGCGCATCCTGCCTTGATCCTGGAAACCCATTATTTGTCTAACCCATGCGATTAACCACACAAAGCTCTGTGTTTCCTTGCAACTCACACAATGGTATCGAGACGTGTTCCCGATAACTTTATCTGACACTCGCTCCTACGGGCTGTTGTGTGGTTCATTGTTTTCCTAACCAGGTCTACGTGGTTTCACTTCAACCCCGCTGCAAGATACGATCATACCCATACGGTGTAACATGCCCAGGTGTCCCACTAATCTGCATGGATTGGGTCTCATCCCATATCCGCTGTGAAGATTGTGCACTCCGCCCCCCGTGCTACTAACCCTAAGGGCATCCAGGCTATTGTTGTCAATTGATCCCATATCCGCACTGAGACGCGTTACTCTCATTCCATCTGAATGTATTGACACTTTATATCGTCCTGTTCGTCGCGCCGCGGACCAATAGGATAACATTACGTACACCTTAATCTGTGTGAATTTCTTGTACGGTAGTAAGTGTGCTGATGCTATTTCATAGCGGAAGTGTATAAAGACCCGGTTGTTTGATGAATGAACGGACACTGTTGAGGTATACAATTATGTATTTGAGTTCTACTTTGTTTAATATTACCGTAGTTTACGTCTCGGCTTCCTTTCTTGGTTGGATCTTGGAGTTTTTACGAGTCACTTGAGCCCCAAGCGACTATGTCGCTTACAAGCAGAGCGCTGTCATTCATTGTGGGCGATTGCTGAGCTTTTTGTTTTCGTCACCGATACGTCTACATTCCCAAGCTTGGAGAGCATGATCTGCAGGGCATCTCTCGGTTAGCTCCGTGGGCGCGTGCAGGACGACCTTGGTTGTTCCAATTAATTTGTGTTCACATGACCAAATGTAACGAGCATTTAACTAACTTGGAATAAATTTAGAATTGAATGGGAACTCATGAACTCGGAAAAGTTCAAAATTAAAATAGTTTTGCAATGGCTCTTGTATCTGCTACATTTCGCCCTTGACAAACGGCCTCTGCAGGCATAGTGAACTAGCACCTACTTGGATTGACTTTTATAAAAATCATGATGATGAATACAAGAAATAACCTAGTTATTTTTGTGTAGAGGACACTCGATAGTGCATTTACAGTTATGTTTGCACTAATACTCAATGACTGACGGCATCCCACCTCGATTACGGAAGCCAGGTTTAATACCACATGCATATCATGACCATACGAAGCTCAAGGGACTACATAGATGGACAACAAGGGCTAATGATTTGACGCCATCTTCCGTGCTAACCATTACTGCATAAACTCGAAATGTTCAGTGGACCTTACCGGTAGCTGTGGCGAGATCCCATCATGGTATACACAATAATGCGTGATCCCAGTCACGTCTGCCACTAACTTTTAAACTCATGCCAAACCCCATTCTGTGTAGCAAAGGCTAAATACGTTGTCAACAAAGAGCCATCTAGATTACCGACGAAGCTAATTTCTGGATTCGTCCAGTCCTGAAACCCCAATGCAAACTCACAAGCTTTTGCACTCACCTTAGCCATTTGCAAAGGGATTTTGAATATCGCACGCAACACTTTAAATTTGGTCATAATAACTGATATACTGGATTGTATTACGGTAAACTAGCTGTTTCGAAATTGTTGTCCACGCTATTACACCTAAGTCAGTGAAGGCTGATGTGCGGTATGACTGGCCTTTATCTGGAAAGGTAAGCTCCAATATTGTGTTGCACTCTGTTGGCCGGTTTTATCTTACCTCGCTACTTTTGTGCTTAATGTGTCATCACCTCTTTAGTTTACTTTTGAATTTAAATACTGCTTTCGTGCACGTTTCTCCGACCACTCTATGAAATCCGCCGAGCAAATACTTTTTGACCTTTCGTATACTACTGCTCTACGGTTTAAATTTCAGCTGTAAAACCGCTCTCGCTTAGCAATTTTCTGAGTAATTTTGTGGACTGTCTATTCGCTTGCCCCTAATAATCAATTTAGCGTAATATCAGGTACCATAGTGCTCATTATCAAAAGAAAATAGAACTTTTTCACCTTATCAACACCGTTTTTAAGGAGATACAGCTTCAGATTGAAAAATTACAGGTCGACGTTTATAACATATCGTGGACCGTAGAGGTGGCTTGTAGTAACCAAACCACACAGCGGATTCTCCAAGTTCAACTTTGAATTCGTTTCCGCTGTACCAAGCGTTGCTCACGCATCTGTGGCATAGTGTTTATGGTGTCAGCCGTAAACCATTAGGCTCTGATTTCCAGTCCAGCTCAGACTATTTCCACCTGATGAGTCCAAACCAGGACGAAAACTCGGTCGTAGGGTGTCATTGTTGAGATGATCAACACAAAAGTCTTTCCATTTCACTTTGTGATGGAAATGACCGAGGTCCATCTAAAGTGAACTAAGGTCTCAATAGAGGTTGATTCTAGCAACCAAACAACACAACGGATTCTCCAAGTTCAACTTTGATCTCGTGGACCGCGTTGAATAAGGCAAATGTAAGGTACATGTGGATGGTGGGTACTCATGCCACTTCAAAAACTTTCAGACGAGTACTTAATAGTTATAGATTTAATTGCGGGCACCTGCACTAGATTTACACAGCAACGATGCAACTACACTCAAAACGTATATTATACTGCCATCATAGAGCCGGGAAATGGTATATGAGTATTCCAATTGAAGTTAACACAAACTGCCTTCGAAATGCTAATTCCGATAACGAACTGAGGTCTGACAAATCAAATACCAGGTGACGTTGTCAGAGTCTACAAAGTGTATTACATGACCACTAATCAAAATACATTTTTTAGCGTTTATAAAAGCATGTTTAAAAAATTTCGTTGTGGAACTACTATCTGCCTGAAATCGAATTTTTGGTGCGATTTTGTCGCTATCCCGGAAGCAACTGTAGTCAATAATATTGGAATTTATTCGCAAAATGTTCGCAGAGATATTATCTATAACAAAGAACGAATAATTCCATTTTACCGCTCATAATTAAGACATGATATGCGTGATCGTGGTTCAAATTCAGATAGGATTGAAAGGATAAGAGAAACTCGAGGTTTCCCATCAGGGAGCAAACCGTTAAGCCAGGAATTGATACGGCACTCTGAGAGATTAATGCATCTAGACCGAAACACACGAACCACAGCTTGATTAAACAATCACTTCATAAGGGTCTTGCAATGTGAAATAGGCAATTTATATGAGAAAAATGAAGGCAAAGGCGAGGGTAAGTCAATGGAGTAAAGGATAATGCAACAGCAAAGGAAAGTATTAAAACCAAAGTATGGGAATGGGCATTGTCTGAAAAAGTGTAAGATTTTATGTCGCCAGAGAAAGACGTCCTATTGATGAACAAAGCGCTTAACGAGGTGTTTCCTGAAGGCATTTTATGGAAGCGACTTCAAGCGGTAGATAACTCGGTGCGATAACCGACTTTCCAATCAAATCCGATTAGAGCGCAGCATGTGCAGATTCATGTCATAACTGTGGGGACCAGAAAACCAGGATTGCATAAACTGGAAAAATAGCGTCAACCTTTCCAGTTAAAATATAGTAAATGAGTAGCAGGTCCCCCAGAAGCCTTTCTGCAATGCATTAAATTTATTCCCAATCTAAGTAGGAGCTGGCTATATATCTGTCGCGGCAATCCCTCGGCGAAACCCTGTTGAAGTGTTCCAACAGTCCTTGCAGTATTTAGTGAAAACTTCGTTTCACGGATTTGAGATCGAGTTAGAAGAACAGTGCTATTACTATACTAATTCTTTTTTAATTTTCTTGGACACACGCACGTTCTCACCTTGACTCCAGTGGTACAGGTTCTTTCTCATCTGCAACTTCTTCGTTGGCCATCTTATTTGCTGCATCCAGACCGAAAGCGATCACGTCAGCCGCACCAGATGTACCCTGATAGGAAAATTGACATGGCAGAAGAGAATGAACTATTCAAAGAAACGAGGGGCGATGATTTGTGAAGTGGTTTTATATTAATGCAAATACGTTATGATCAAGAATATTGCGATTATGCGTAGCGCTCTGATGATAACATGGATGACAAGCAAGGGATCAGAAGAATTTCGCGACATTAATATCTCCATCATGAATTGTCTCGATAAGCAACAGATAAGGATAAAGCTTATACAAGCTTACGGTCCTGAGCAGCAAAAGTGATAAAGATAATAGAGGACCAATGTGTACCATCGTAACGCCACAAGTACTCGGTCATATCAATAACACGTTGACTGTTGATATACTTTTTGCGCGCAATAACAACTTACCGATTATATGGAGGTATTGGTTAATTCTTGTTGTCTGTATATTAGGCAGACTTGCGTTGCCATCACTATCCTGACATGACTGCATGGACCTCCTTACACTTCTCGTATCCGAAGTATACTAGGGTTAGCATGTAGACTCTGCAAACTATACAATGCTCTGGTGGCATCCGAAGTAGAATGAAAGACAGATACGGTTATTGGGTTTTGATTAGTAGTGAAGAACAAAGGGTTTCATAGCATCTTAACAACATACGCTGCATTGACATCACGATGTCTCAGCAAGTATCTTAGATGCACTCCATACTGATCGGAACACCGGTGTTTAGATGTACTGGACAAACTTCCTAGTGGGACTGCGGGCGCCTAATAAACACGAAAACCTACACAGCGAACCGGCAGTTTAATAGTTTTGGGGATGCTTGTTTAGACATCTGATTTCGAGCGCTTCCTAAAGATTTTTCCATAAATGACCTAATTCACCTGTATTCCTTGAATCGTTTAATTACTAATATAGTCAAGGGGATCAGTGAAACTTCATAGTTTCCCATTAAACTGAAGATAGTGTACTATGAAGATCACTTATTGCAGTTATCATACAGGACAGACAGTGCTTATTTAGGTTTTATCTCGCTCCATCAGGTGTTTCGCATTTATGGTGCCTGATGACATTAGTGCCTTTGTTAGTCTGTTTCACCAAACCAAAATTAACTCCATTGGAATATACTGTGAATAGTATTAACTTTTACGTGGGAAACGTTTAATGTTGAATCCGAACTCCACGAACTTGCAACAAGTTGGCCGTATTCTTGTAAATCTGGCGTCCAAATCAAAGCTGAGTGCTACTGAATTAAAGTTGGCCAAGCAATAAGTCGAATTGAAATGTCAACAAGCTTGGTTCGCTTTTCGTGCAAGTCGGTTGTGGAACTTTATTTCAATTTGCATCATTTCTACCCAGACTTGGTGATACACTAATTAATCTAACTTATGAAGCGCACTGACAATAATGGCTAGAACGCGTAAAACAGATTGTGTAAAATTGCAGTTTCTCACAAATCATTAGGTTTTGATCGGTTCTGGATTGGCAGACTAATAACGTTCTGTATTCACTAAATAAGACTATTTATATGCCACATTTTTATTTACCCTAAAGTTCTATCCTTACATTCAACTGCGCTGTTTTATGATCAGTAGTGTCTTGCTTTCAGAATACAGTTGCTGCGCTCAGTCACTTACGGATTGTTTCATATTTTTCTGAACATTGTTTGCGGCTACAGGCTTGACTTTCCCCACTGAATCAAGAAACAGTGGTTCATTTCCAGAATAAGAGATAATGTTCATAATACCTATGTTAGGGACTACGCAAGTCTGGCAGACGAATGATCATGCCACACCCGAAGCTACACCATGAATAGTAACTGATGGTGTTATGAGGTTTTTCTCTTCCTGTACTACAGTAGGAAGGAAAAAGTGGCACTTAGCTGATGGGCTCGGGGTCCACGCAAAATCTTAGTGTAATGCACCGGAATTGTATGCGTTTTAGCCATGTTCGTCGATATCACATGAGCAGGAGCATCGTGTAATCCATGGGAAACACATCAAAGTGAATATTGCAGTAATGGTGGATGAAAGGTTAACAACAGTGTTACTATTAAACTGCATCGCCATAAAGCTACATTTCAAAGTAAGTATTTTCTGCTTTTACCAAATATATATTCTGTAATAACCCTGGTGATGCGCTTTACTATATATCTTAAAATGCTGAAGCATAAGACGACTTAACATAAACAAAGTAGGTCTCATATGCTTGAAGTTGAATCTCTGGATAGGATTGTGTGTATCTGGTTTGTCGCGATGGGTTTTTGCGGAGGCGCATTCAAAGAAAGTCTTACGATTTTGCCCCTGAGCAATTTAATGCTTTGTTAGTTATTTCGCTTTTACAAGTAACAAACAATTGTTTGGCTGCCTTATTGTAGAGGTATTTGTCGCTTTAAGATCTCGCTTGATGGTCTAGCCAGAAATCTATAACAGGCCAGTTCAGGAAGTCCGCAAATTTTCCCTAGTTTTGTATGGCTAGATTATAGTGGTACAACATCTACTGTTCTGTGATGGTTGTAAATTATTTGTCTTTTATAAATGATGTCGTAAAGCGAACGCGCTATCCGCTGAATCACTAGCGTAATTTTTACCGGATCCACAGGTATGCGCATCCAGATGCTTTCAGCTGTTCCGTTATACTAAAATAATACGTCATGTTTTCAAAATGACTACCAGGAAATTAACCAAATTGCTAAGCCGCGATCTAATTGTGTCACTCAATGCTTTAACCTCCTTTGTCTTATAAGAACTTGAACGTCTGACAGGGGATACAGTGATTACAAGAGGGACCGTGAGACCAGTCAGTGTTCTGGTACGATACTCGACGCAACAATCGGGAATTGCTCTGATCATTATCCTTACTGACGTAACAAAAACGCATAATCCAATAGTGGTTGTCCTAGTTTTCTCAGACTTAATGTGTGCAGCTATTTTCTTTTCCTTTTGGTGCTTCCAACCCAATTGAACTTTGGCGGAGTACATCGATACCTAATGGATTGTTCCATCAATTTTTGTCTAGTTGCAAGTAATTCCATCAGAAATAGGCACTCAGTTTTCATTCTTACTGAGATATATTTGTCCGTTTACTTTTAATCGGTTGTTGTACTCATAATCGTGCCGTTTTAAAACTACCCCATAACATCTGAATTCCTCTCTTTCGTATGGCTACTTATTATATCTTCCCTGGAAGTAAGTTGAAAGTCAAGATGCCTTTTGTGGCTGGAACTCACGAGATGAAAATTAATGAGGACAGAAGACTAAGTTGACTTATACTTAGCAAAAGATTCAATTATTTAATGCTTTATCCAACTAAAGCATTAGACAATTGAATAATGTTCAAAGCGTAAGTCAAGTTAGTCTCCTATGCGCATTAGTGTTCATCTAGTGAGTTTCAACCATACAGCGCAGCTTGACGTCCAGCTTACTTATAGGAAGTATGTAATAAGTAGCTATAAGAAAGAGAGTGTTTCAGATGCCATGGGATAGTTTTAAAATAGCACGAGTATGAGTAGAGTAACCAAGTAAAATCCGATATTTTATAAATCACACCGGATTTCTTTTAAACAGGCAAATATAACCAAGCGAAAATGAAAACTGTCTGAATAATTCTGATGAAATACCTGCAACTAGACGCAGGACACTTGGAACAATCTATTAGGTAGTGCCGTACGCAGCCGACGTCCAGTTGGGATGAAAGAACGAAAAGGAAAATAAAATAACTGCACTCATTAAGACTTGAAAATGGACACCAAAAGTGGTCTATAAATCATTTACGTGCTTCGTGAACAATTAACCGATTTGCACCGTCACTGTCCCTTGTTTTCACACTCATTTCTTTTAGTACAGCTTATTACTGAAAAGACAATTTATGCGCAGGTTGTTCCTTGAAACTTGCAAATGTAAGCTAATTATGGAACTGGCGGTATTCGAGTAAAATGATAGAAACTCACCTTCGTTACAACTATCGGGCAACGATTTTGAATCATGGAACAATACACTTGGCGCAACGTGAACCGATCACCACCGACAACCAGCCCACACATAGGAACCAGCACATCTTCCTCACCCACCGCAACTTTGCCAGGTTTTGGAGTCTTCCCACCTGAATCTGCAATGGTTTTTTCACCTGGCACGCGGGCGCCTGCATATCCTTGGCCACCAGGCAACTGCTCACTAACGGCAGGCTTTTGTAAACCGTGAATGCTAGACGTACCACCAGTACCTGATGAATTTCTGGCCAAAGATGTGGAACTCAGTGTGGGACCCACTTCTGTACCGCTTCCCTCAATCTGAAGAGTGCCAGTGGACTGGTTATTGATGTTGCTGCTTGACTGTGAGGAAACCCGAGGTTGTTGTTGCAGATGCGTGCTGGATGTGATCGGGCCAGAAGTAAGCGCCGCGGTTGGATCCGGCTGTATTTTTGCGCCACTCCATTGTGAGATGCATCTTTCAAATCGAGCTCGAAGTTCAGCCTCCTTTCCTTTGGCTTGATCATTGACGCCAGAGTCAAATAAGATGAAGTAATTGTGATTTGGGTCCAACGCACGCTCCTCCACATCTGTTCGCGTAACATTGGCGGAGTCAGTTTCTGCCTGGTCCACCAAGTCGTTTTCATCCACTTCTTCATCTTCTTCCGACTGGTAAACTGCGGTACCCTGCAAATGCAATCGAGGTGATTCTACGTTTGCTGTATACTTATAACAAGGCAATGGACAGTAAAGAGATATATCCTCTATTCTAGACGCCCTGGTTAACAACTAGTTATAGTCATAATGAACCTTGTTATCGTCAAGTGCAATAATGCCATCAACATGTTTAATATCAATCAGACTGAAAAGTCTTTCTTCACTAGCTGAAAGTAGCACAAATAATATGCACGAAATTAGTATGAGAATGACAATACAATGTGTTGATAGCTGTTGAACAGCGTTCACAACGTTTTTAGCTTCTACATCGCTTTCGAACTTATACTGCTAAATGTTACACAGAAGAGGTGAAGCAGTATAGTCAATGCTTGGAAAAAACTGGTATGAAGCACTGGACCGGGATGCCGCCAGTTAGCCAATTCCTTCAGCAATAAGACGGCAAGTATGTCACCACATATCGAAAAGTGTTTTCTATCAGTTTGTCTGTTCAACTTACCTGGCGGTTCATAACTTGGACAGAAATGTCTATCGATCTTTTGCAGTGGCCTGATATTTGCTAGCTCAATGAAAAGTCATCAAGCATGTCATCCACATGACTCAATCTATGATCAGTTATCCTGAGCTAGGATGACTTGTTCTTGGGGCCTTACGAATATATTTTGCCAAACCAAATGTGTTCAGCATTACTGTAACTTCCATAATGCGTAAACGCGTAAAAGAGGCAAATGCAAGCCTTTTTTCCACTCTGGTTGTAAGTGTGAAACACTAGGTTGGAGTAAAAAAAATTGCTGTGAGACCTAATTACAAAGCATAATCTACGGAATAAAAAAGAAGCACTAGCTAACACACTATCACAACTGACAACTGTCACTCAAGTAACATCCGGAGCATGAATAGCTAACCACTCTCTAGTTAACGGAATCATGTTGGTGCAACTACTAAGTTCGATATGCGTTTTTCGCACGCACAAATATGCAAAGATTTGCATCCGAGTGATTAATTTCGACAACGCAATCTGTTTGACAATAAAGAGATCTACTCTGCTACAGACTTGGAAGGCTCACTTTTACCATACTATTATCAGAATGTAACTAACTACTAAGTACACAGTGCAACATCATTGTTATAAAAGGAATGATATAGCTTGTTTCGAGTAGCACTAAGCGAACCAAATATTTCCACCAAGTCGGTTTTTAATTCTGAAGTTTCATTTCAGCTAAGCATTGCGTTCCATGCATCGAATACTCGACTATGCTTAGTCCATTGGCTCCCTTTAGTTGTGGAAAAGAAGTCCTCTAAAGCACGGTATCCACCAGATACTGAAAGTTGCTTAAGGACTGTGTTTCCTTGGGACAGTGTTTCCCAATTTTTTCGATCATGGCTGAAAGACGCTGCTGTGTTAATGACCGACATTATTTTTTTTACATCTGTGGACAGTATACTACAAAGTCTCTGGGCAGACCGGTTTCTTCACTACTATATTCTGCTATCACGCATATTTAGAGATGAAATTGGGAGATCAGGATAAAAAGTGGGCACCGGATATTGTTTATGTGTCATGAAATCTTTACCTGACTGGGTGGCTTAAGGGCAAAGACAAGATGCTCTTTGCAATCCCCATTGTATAGAGCGACCTGATGACTCACGCAACAGACTGCTACTTCTGCCTAACCAGTATCATTGTAATCTACAACCGAAACAAGCTCAAAATGCATTGCTCCGATCTTCTATCATCTATTCGACCTGTACCTCAAGATTTTACCTCACCCATTTCCAGTGCCTCCAGTGAATATGTCATGTCTGATGAGTAGTGATTCCGCATTGTCATCTTTCCCTGACGGGGACGGTGGTTGGTTGGATCGGATTGATTCCGACTCTTGCGAATAGGAGTAATCATTCGGTGTTTCTACATATCGTGCAAAAAACATTTCGGCAAATCTGTGTTGGGCGAATCGAGCCGAAGGCTTAGCTACATTCTCTCCCACCGCCAGTAGCGAGTTCGTGTGCATAGTATAAACTCAAGAAGAGCTTTGCTAACAGATGTGTAACGGACTTTTTTGTACAGCTTCTCACGTGAAGTTTAAATGCGCGCGTTTTGATGATGAAACAATCATTGTCATATGTCATATGTTGCAGCATATTGCAGATGCTGGGTGTTCGTCACCTCCGGTGTCTACGTAGGCCCGTCCGCCATTTGAAGTTGAGGAAGTCCCCGTTTCAGGTTACATAGGGAGTTCACGCGTAGGTACAGAAACTTCTGGTCCGACGCCACACGTATTGACGACCTCAGCTGGTGCACTAAGCTGAGTACAGTGGTTGCGTTGGCTTGCGTAGGCCATCCAGGTCTCGGTGCTTGTTGAAAGCATTTAGTATGGTCAAATTGAGTTGCGCACGGTTATACACTTGCGTGTACTGCTTCGCAGAAACGAGACCATGCTTCTCGAGTGAACAGTCTTGGTTATTTCTTTTGTACATCAGCTCCAAGAGCTTATTACGAAATGTTTCCCTGCGGGTCAAATAGTTGGAAGATTTTACCAAGCGGCCATGAGTCAATTAAAAACATTTATGCCACGTCAGACCTTGCTATTACTGGACTGTCGGGAGGTCAAGCTAATTGGACACCTGGCAAGATCAAAAGCAAGCGCGGAAGGGTCATGCATGAAGCAGTCATGTGCACACAGACTTGATTTCGCCATACAACCCAGCTACGGTACAACAATTTCTAACCTGGGCCCAGGCACGCGGCTTGAAACTCCAGTGTTTATAACACAATCTAAAGAATCTTCCTCATATCTCACATCTATCTCAGTGTTTTTGATAAACATTCGCTCTCTTTACTCTAAGATCCACACCCTACGCTCGTTTGTTTTGGTGAATAATCCTGATATATTATTTATAACTGAATCTTGGTGCCATGATGGCATGTCTGACACTCAGTTAACTATTTTCGGATATAACAAGTTTATGAGGAATCGGCCTGGTCGTCGAGGTGGTGGCTGCGTAATTTATCTAAAAAACTCGCTCACAGCAGCAACATTTGATAACCCAGTGTTGAACAATGTTCAGGAATCACTCTGGCTAACGATATCTGTTAATCAGCAACAGCTGCTTATGGGATGTATATACAACGCGCCAAACGGCAGTCAAGAAGACCTAGAGCTTTTGACGCTTGCATTTGAATGCGCTGCTGGCCTACCATTTTTACATAAGCTTATTGGAGGTGATTTCAATCTGCCTTCGATTTCATGGCCAATAGGAACAGCTCCTTTGAAATACCACAATCTTATCTCCTGTATCCAAATGAATGGTTGGCAGCAACAAGTCTCTCGACCTACCAGAGGCGAAAGTACGCTGGATCTCATTTTTTCATTGGGTATACCTGCAATCAGTGTTAACGTTCTTGATGAATTTCCGGGGAGCGATCATCGCGTAATCAAATGCTGTCTAAGACTACGCATGGCCGATGTACAGAAAACAAAGCATTATCGTCTATTCAATTCTGTCAACTGGGACTCATTCAAGGACCTGGTTCGTTCGATGAATTGGGATAAATTCTTTCTCTCTTCATGCCCTCAACATGCGACGGACCTGTTTTATAGTATAATCGGCTTCTGCATCGATTCAGCAATACCACTAAAATGCGCTTACCAAACCAAACCCAAATCCGATCGCAAGGCATTGAAGGCAGCGCGAAAGCTTCATAAGATTCGTCAGAAATTCAAGTTAACTGCTGACTTTGCGCTATTATTACAGCAGTCGAAGCTCGTGGAAGAAAAGAGGCATCAACGAGACAAAACTCTCATTCTAGAAGAGTATAAAGCTCTGAATGGCCCTAGCAAAACAGCTGAGCTAGCCAAACTATTCCGTGCCCGGGGTTCGCGTTGCAGTGACAATCTCAGTTTCATCACCACGCCTGATGGAACATACTACGACGCACCAGATGATATCTGCGAAGCTTTCAGTGCTTATTTTGCCGAATCAATGCTCACTGAATCATCAGACACACCAACATTTATCACGCCGCAAAATAATGAAGGTCTATGCACAGTAGAATTCACTATAGCGAAAATCACTAGTCAAGTCGCTCGCTTATACTCCTCAACGTGCGCAGGCCCTGATGGACTACCCCCATGTTTAATAAAACGCAGTGGTAGTGACTTCCTTCTGCTTTTGCTCAACATCTTCACACTCTCTTTTAACAACGGAGTATACCCTACTCAATGGAAAACTTCTGTTGTTATCCCGCGACATAAAAATGGCGCTGCCCACGAGGTTAAAAACTTTCGTCCCATAAATCACACACCCATCATATCTAGAATAATGGAAAGGATAGTAAAAGATGAACTATTTATATTCTTGAACAAAGCTAACATTATCAGCAATTCGCAACACGGCTTCATGCAAGGTCGATCCTGCGCAACATGCCAGACTGACTTTTTAAACCACACAACGGCTGCCATTGACAACGGAAACAGTGTCGTAATCCTGTTCCTGGATATGCAAAAAGCCTTTGACAGAGTGCCTCACAGAAGGTTACTGGAAAAACTGAAGGCTATAGGCATTAGAGAACCGATGTTCTCTTGGCTGTCTTCATATCTAATTGGTAGACAGCAGGTTGTGCGCATAGGCGATCATTTCTCTACACCGAAAGCAATCACTAGTGGAGTGATTCAAGGGAGTGTTCTTGGTCCACTTCTTTTTCTAATTTATATTAACGATATATTCCAGAGAATAAGAAATGGTGTTGCATTTATCTTTGCTGATGACATTAAAGTTGTCTACTCACAACCACGTGCAAATACTCAGGAAGCCGTACGTCTCATTCAGGATGACCTATCCGCCCTTGACTCCTGGTGCCAACTGTGGCAGATGTCATTTGCCGTGGACAAGTGTAATATTTTGTCGTACAAATGCCAAGTACCGCCAGACAGTTTATTGCTACAAGGTGCCTATATCTCGCAATGCAGGACAATTCGCGACTTGGGCGTGCGATATTCAGTTACGTTTAACTTTTCTGAACACTGTGACTTCCAAGTTTCGAAAGCCATGAAGACCATTGGTTATATCTGCCATCATTTTTACCTCACGGAATCTCGCATATCCCTTTACAAAACATATGTATTGCCGTGTATGGAATACTGTTCAATGATACAGTCTAATCTACGGAAGTCTGACCAGCACGCTCTTGAGAGGGTCCAGAGACGTTTCACGAAAAAGCTATGTGGATATTCCTCAAAGTTGACATACAAGGAGCGATGCGATAAACTTGGATTTGACCCAGTTTGGCTTCGGATAATGAAGCTGAACCTATGTTTTCTTTACAGAATCATAAATTGTCAAATTCGCAGTCCTGAAAGCGGTGTTCACATATCTGTAAACAACAGATACCCAATACGTAACAAAGAGGTAAAGGTCATGATTCCAAAATTTTCTACGAGAATCAGAGAACGTTTCTTTCTAACCCAATACTCAAAGATTTGGAACAAACTTCCAAGTGATATCAGAACA